TGACATCAGTGCTTTGTGCCCCCTCCTGGAACATTCTGGATCTGTTAATTGGCAAGACATGCCCATACTAACACTAACATGCATTACAAGGGCATATTTACTACGCTTTATATGAAATTTTGTTATGCCCACATGCTTTCTCTCAAGAATATTTTGACATCATTATGATAGCTTGAAATTCATTCCAAAATATTTTGAACTTAGACAACTTCTGTCATTGCTCATAGTGAAAAGGCTTTACATTATGCCACTAATCAACTAGTAGAAAATAATCTACCACTGCAATCTTACCTTAAATATATAGTTTATTTCTATATTATTACAGAACTGTAATTTGCTGGGGGGTAATGGTGGCACTAACAGCTTCACATCTGACCAAATGTAATCATCACCCTCAGGAATTGCTGGCTTTTTTATTTCTGCAACTTTGCGGTCTACACTTTTGCTTTTTCCTTGTGCATGGAATACAATAATCTGAAAAAAAAGATGAGAGAATTAGAATATACTGATGATTCATATTTCTAAAGATGTACAAAAAAATATGAAAATACCCAAGAGATCACCATAAGTCATCACCCTTTTAACTGCCATTTCAGTCTTTCACCATCAAAGTTTGGAAGAAGACGACAAAAACTTGGTGTGGATATAAACTCAATATGCCTGACCAGACAGTGCAATAGCAACTGCATCCCTAATATTCTCAAGCTTAACCCATTGCCACCAGGGAAAATGAACAAAAAATGGGGGAAATGTAGCACTCATTTTTTATATTTTTGTGAAATATCTCTGTCCATAGATGGCTCTGCTAGTCCTGATTTCACCTGTCCTTGAAATGGCTGGAAAAAACGTATTTTTACTAGTGCTATAAATATAGATGGTTTTATTTTTAACAGCAAATTAGGATAACGTTAAATATTTTCGTAAATCAATGAAAAGGGTGAACGGGCGAGACATGCAGTTCTCGTAATTGGCTCATTGGATACTTAGTACAAGTGCAGTAATCTATGAGTAAAAACAATCGAACAAGTCGACTTGCAGTGGGCATGGCATGTACGTACATGCCATCCCCGGCGGCAATGGGTTAATTACATGCCACAGGCCATAAATATGTTACCTCTGATTTCACACTATATAACTATGTAGTTCTGCACATCATGGAAAGCAGGGAGAAACCCACCACCCTCATTTCATTCTGTAATATGCACTGTGTGAAAAATGGAGTAAGTCACTCCCACCCATGCAACCCCTCCCCCCCCAGCACTCTTAATTCCTCCTTCATAAGCTGCTGTCTTCAAGTTGAACTGTGTTCCATGTCCCAATTAAACCCTATAATGATGAATCTATATGGGATCTTTAGTATTAATTATATTGATGATGATTACCATTGGGTAAAGATAGCTCAAAACAGACAATTATAACTCAGAAGCACTTTCCACCTCCCAATAACTCTAAAACAGTGAATACAACAGATAGCATTTGCTGCAGGGAGTTTGGAGTCATATATAAAAAAAAAATCCTGCACATGTATACCTTGATGTAAATCACTGACAAAATATTGTTTCTTTAATGATCATCAGCTTTGTTACAAGGATGGCCGGAATTTTCGTAAGTTGGTATGTTAGTAGGTATGTATGTAGGTATGTTGCTATGTATGTTGCCATGTATGTTGCTATGTATGTTGCTATGTATGTTGCAATGTATGTATGTATGTATGTATGTATGTATGTATGTATCTACCTATCTATCCATTTATCTATATTACTGATACTAGGTATACAAACTATATTTATACTAAAAATATCTCAACAAAAG